AAAAAAAAAAAAAAAATAATGTCTTAACATGAGTCAGCAACAAATTGGTCAGTTTTTTGTGTTTACTTCAGTGTTCTTTCATGCTCCCCACTGTAAGACTGACTGTTAGTAAACAGTGGATTCAGGAGAGCATTTTTTTTCTTACAATTTTTTATACCTCTGTATTTAAAATGAAGTGGTAAGTTTCTTTATGTAATACACAGATGATAGTCTGGGAAGATGAGAGGTATACATAGAAAGACAAAAGTTCAAAAGAAAAAGGTCTTTGATGGCCTTGGGTGAAAAAGAAAACAAGGAAGTGCATGTTCCTAAATCTCGTATGAGACATGTGAACTTTTAAAATCTTACTTAAGTTCCACCATATTTCTTAAAAAAATCACACAGAGATACAATATTTTCTAAACTAATTCCTTTAGATTGTCACCAGTATGTCTTCCATACTCAAAATTTCACAGGAAAACCACTTTTCATATCTCTTATTAATATGTTTGCAGAAAGGACCTAAGACTCAAACAAGGTCCTGAAAAACTAACCTAACTGCAAGGTCCAGCTGTTTTTCATGCTTTTTTTTTTTTTTTTTAACAAATAAACTAAGTTTTTCTTCATGGGAGAGCCTAGGAATACAAGTAGACTGTGTTATACAAAAATGTTTCATTCACACATATAATGACTGATGAAAATGTTTAATCAGTTTTGAGCAATGGATTTTCAGATTTCAATATAAAGTACATATTTCTAAATAGAGAGTTTTCTTACATTTTTGTAATATTTTGCCCACTTTCCTATGATTTTCTCATTATCTCTGGGAAGTGTAGAAATTCTCAGACTTTGAGAAATCTCAGATTTAAGTGCAGATTTCAAACCTTTACAGATGTAAGTGTATTTTTTTGTTATTATCATGGAAATTATTTTTTTCCCTGTCTTTAAGGCTTGTCTCCTTCCTGAAAAAACAATGTATATTGAACCATTTCCTTTGTAGAAACTTTGACCTGAAGCTTGTATGTATGGTTTGTTCTTCATTCATCTCTTAATCCTTGACAGTGTCAGGTTTATGGTTCATCAGAATTTGAGAGGGCAGTTCTGGAAAGAACACATTGCTTTATCATTCAGTAGTCTGAGAAGAACAATTATTTTCTTACTGGAGCACCTTCTTCTTTCAGGGAAAAGGGTCATTGGTACAGTGTGAGCTGTAAAACATCAAGGTTAGGGCACATGAATAAGTTTCACATACATCTTTGCATATTGGTGATCCTGTGTAGGCTTCAAGAAGTCCATGAAGAATAGGAAGAAGTTTTTAAGAGCACCTGGTGGTAGAAAATATTAATCCACCTCTGAACAACTTCCAATGAAAATTTAGGAATGCTGTAACTTTTGGGTCAAGATTCAGTATGAAATTGCAAAATATTAATTTTCAAAGTGATAACTATATAGAGTTTTCAATGAAAGAAATCTCTTAAATTTTTCCTTTTCTGTGACAACAAATCTTTTTCACCAGTGATGGATTTGAAGCAAGAAGTTAAGTATCTCAGGTTAGTTTATCATGTAATGTCAAAGTATTTTTTCCTGCATCATTCTGTTTACACAGCTTGTAGGAGGTAGCAGTGCTATTTTTCCTTTTGTATATTATATAATTAACGTATTTCAGCAGATAAGAAATCACTTGACATGTAATTATTGTTTTGCAGAAAACAAATTGCTGGTACTATATTGATTTTTGTGTACTGTGATAGTTTTTTGACATAAAAGAGAATGCAGATATATTTTATTCATAGAATTTTTTAAATTTAATCCAAGAAAATCTCAGCCTTGTGAATAGATGTGGACTGAGGGCTGAATATAACCTTGTTAATGGTTTTACTTCCATGAGCAAAACCTGCTGATGTTACCTTGCTTATAAACATTAGAATTTGCAAGCTCAAGCCATGTATCCTTATGTATCCTGAATGTTGTTCAGGAACAGAATTTCTAACTTTTTTTTTTTTTTTTTTTTTTTTAAAGAAAGATATTTCTTAGCTTTTTATACTGTGTTGGGTGGAAGAGGAAGGAATAGGATGAATGATTTAAAGTATTTATAAGAACCAACAGTTCTTGTTTCAGTCTCAAAAAATGCCAAGCACAAAGGAACCTGGGGATTTATCATTTAGTTATAGGTCACAAAAAAGAGGTGGCAGGATATAAGTATTTCTCCTAGCAAACAGCATGCTTACAGAAGGAATAATTCTGATTCCTCTCCTCTCTTCTCCTCTCCTATTCTCTCCCAGTAACCATTAGCCTTTGCCTAAGGGAGATAAGAATTACTGAGATCATATAATTCTTCTCTTCCTATTAGCATTGTGTAGAAATCAATTTCTCAAAATAAAAAAAAAAAAAAA